ATTGCATTACATATTTTTAGCACAAACAGGAGAATAATTAAAATTATAATTAGTTTTAAAAAAATTAAGAAAAAATTAGAAAATGTGTTTCATTATTAACAATTATACATTCTTAAGTTTATTATTCCCGTTGTGGAATATAGATATTGTTGTTGCCATGAATTCAGCGATCTTCGAAAATATATTTATTACCCTCCCGTTTTTTCGTCAAAATTTTGTGTGATAAATAACGCGCAAAAAAAAAAAAACAAATGCGAACGAGGAGGAACATAACCTCCGAAGGTCCCTTCTCGACCCTTTCCAAAATTAAAACAAAAATCATGGGAACAGTTATCAAATTCTCGTCATTTTTTACCTGCACGTTTTATCGCAGAAAGGAGAGATCATGTTGAAATATTCGGATTATCCAGTAAAAGTCACGTCATGTTCCCCGAAGAAGCTATCTCGATACTCCTTTCTGCATCCCCAGTAAGCGAGCCGTCCAGATTGGCAGATTGACAGAGTGATCGACATTAACAGCAAATTCAATCAGGATTGTCAGAAATCGCTGGCAAATCGGCATCGAATATTTGTTCGTGTCAAGCTTGCGTTTTGCCGGCGAAGCCTTCTGACATAACCTGACAGCCGATTGGGGACGGAAACCGGGCAGAGTCGCCGTTGAACGCGAATTCCGCTCGATTTTCGCCGTCAAACTGCGTCAAGTTACAAACATGTCAAAGTTTACTTGATTTCTGCCATCTGTCATCATATTTTTGCTAAACTTTGCTTCATGTCTGCTAGTAATCTGCCAGCAGTATTTGTATATGTTTGATCTTCCAGCCTTTCTGTCGAGGAAATTTGTAGCAATCATTTCACAGAATCTGTTCTTGATACTTTAGGTGACCATTTTTTTGTGACGCAATCGTAGCACGCATAAATTTTCCGTGAGAGGATGTCGAAGAATGAAATCTGTGGGTACGTGTCATTGTTGTGCAGCGTCGTGGACAAGCCACTGGATCTGTGGTCGAAACACGTTTCCTACGGTGGTAAAGTTCGTAGAGCGAGGGACGAGCTGTTGCACGGCGATAGAGTAATCGAGATCACCGGGCCTCACGACAACACGATCCCCACGAGCATAACTATTCCTGCCAAGGCAATAGACATCCTGAACATAAAGCTCCCCATTCTCGCGTTAGTCATAAAGAATTTGAACTTGCGGTTCAAGCTGGAGATTCAAGTACATGGATGCTTTTATAGGTTTCATGAAAGATATCTGTATTACTCTGAATTTCTTAATGATGATTTTCTATCTTCTACGTGCAAAGATAATAGACAAGGAACAATATCGGAGAAGATTCTCCTTCATGACCTACAATGTGGAAAGATTGCCGAGGATCAGTGCAAATGTGGCTCGTATTCCACTGAGATTGGAGGAATGTTGGAATTTCTTGGAGATAAACCTTCAAACTCTCTGTCACGAAGCGTACGGAATGGATTATCAGGCTCTGCAGCGAGTAACGATTTATCCGAATTGTCATTTGAGAAGAGTGTATCTGCAAGATCGTCATTATAACGACGATGAGACGCCTGTTGAGATGTGTCGAGCTTTCTTCGATAGGTATCTGTTGAAGCGGGGAATCGGTTTCATCGAAAAGGCTTGTCAGACGGAAGAATGTTACACAGGTTTTACAGATTCTTGAAGAAATGTGAGATATACATACGTATTGACATATTTTTATTTCTTGTTTGGCTTCTAGGACCTTTAGAGCAATCTGATTTGAATTGTTTTGCCAAAAATGATTCTGTTGGCACGTCACCGACGATAGTAGAATTATGCAAAAACGCACGTAGCACGGAGAAACTGAAAAGTTCGAGTCCACCTGACCTGAATTTGTACAATTTTAATACATTGAAAAGGAATTACATGTCATTAGATGCTTTAAATGATGCAATAAAAATACGTAACCGAGATGTTTTTACAAGACAAAGTGAATTCTTTACAAAATCTTTGATAAATAATCCAGTTGTAGAAGAGAAATTAGAAAAAAGTAATACTGACGTAACAGGGAAAGCAGAGCAACGATGTGTCGTCAAAATGCATAAGGCAGGAAACTCCTTGCTAAATATAAAAATTAATAATCATACGTTGCAACCTGCATCTTCTGTCGAATTAAAAAGAATTGCAAAGAGTCAATTTTTAAAAACGCATGTCAGTGAAATATTATTCAAAGATAATAGATTTTCAAAAAGTCCGCAGAAAATTCAGAATGTAGGAGACACATACATTAACTCGAGAAACTGCACATTAAGTAACAACGATAATAATGTACAGATAGGAAAAGATAATAGTACAGATGCAGAATTTAGAGTTTCTGCGGTCAGTTCTCCGTCTGCTTTTAAACTTGATCTATCGGAGAGCATTAAACTTAATAAAATAACCAGTAATGCGACCGACACTCGAAGCAATGATATTTCTAAGCACAAATACATTAGAGAAAGTGAAAAAAATATCGCCAATCGTTTAAGATCTCTGGTTAGTATCGAAGAAAACGCTGAAGATGTAACTGAAGATATGTTCAAACACATTCAACCTGTAATCGAGAAAGACACAAAACTGGACGAAATAAAATCGTGAATCATATACTTAACGACGTTGTATCTGATTTTATAGCTATAAGTCAATCCGCAAATAAAAAACTTATCGAAAAATTACAGGATAAAAGACTCGATATGTCGCAAGTAGAATTATAAATAATGTATGATAAATCGGAGGAACTTTTACAAAAATTTGCAGAGAAACAGAAATGGCGCATGGATATCGGTCTGCAATAAATTTAACCATTTTTAGCGAATTATTTGAAAAGATAAAATTATAGGAAAAATATATATAAAAAGAGAAATATACATGTTTCTTGTCCAATAAGCAAAAATACATGCAATACATGACACATCTTTAATGCATGACACATGATCTATATTCTAAGTAAAAAATTAATCTTAATTATATTAATTATTACTAATATATACTGCTTGTAGTATACATGATGGAGCAACATATAAAGTTAAGGCAAACAGCAATAAATTAACTTTTATTTTGAATTATCTTCTAATTTGAACAAATTTTTAAAGAACATTGCATCAAACTCTTCTTTTTTTCCTTACCAAAAACGCGCCTATTCTTTCACTAATTCTCAACATTTTGCCTTGTTTTGAATAGGCAAGAATAATTTGAATTCCGCCGGCAATTCGTCCTCCGAATATAATCGATCGGAAAAGTACACTCGTCGTATCCTACAATTAGCATGAATTTGGACCCTCAGTGTCTCCACGTAATTCGTTCCGTAGGCACGGCGTGTGAAGTCAGCCAAGTTGAACTGTATCTGATTCCAACCGTCGTCCAGTCTCATCGGCATAGTACATATGAATGGTTTTACTCTCGTAGTGGACTGGTAGTTGCTAGCACGAAATCTGCGACGTACATTTTTGTCGTCGATTATCTGCAACGTATAATAATTTCTTTTTTTACATGAAGAAACAGGTTGAAAGATTTGTTGAATAAAACAATTTCTAATTTCTTCTTAAATATATGAAATATTAAAAAAAAATAAATCAAGTATTATACATTCTAATTTCTTCTTAAAT